TGACATGACGTCAGGGGGGGGGCGCCGACACCGCCGCCGCTACCGCCGCGCCCGCCGCCACCGCCGCGCCCGCCGAATAAAAAATAAATATCTCTCTCGTATACTTATTATCTCTTCCGTTGCGGTTCTCTCTCTCTTATGACGAATGTTATTTTTCTAATTATTTTATGGTGCGGAAGAAAGAAATGAAAGAAATACATGTTTTTTGCATATTATATATGTTTATATTTTTAAACAAATTGAATACATTTAAGTGTGAAATTTTTTTTATTTACATTTTTCTTATATACTAAAAACTAAAGCTAACAGCTCGCAATCGACGAGTTGACGTCTATCGAAGGTATCGCAATCGTATCGCGTTCGGCACTTTCTCGGGATCTGTTACAACAGACGCGATGTTGGAGAATCGCATATACTTGGTATCGATCGTATCGACGAATCCGACGAGTCGATCGAACGTCACATCGATACATTCGTCCAGATCAAACATATGGCGCAGGGTCGATTTGATCATCGTTATGCGTACGTTCAAAGATTCAAGACGTACGAGTGTAACGTCGTTCATCTGGTAAACTCTGATGATTAACGGTCCGACGCTTATAAAATTATCTTTGTAATCGTTTCGCAGCAATTTGTAGATATTCCATCGCTGCTCGTAGAGTCCCTTCCACGTTTCGAGAGACAGTATCAATTTCTGTCCCCGATGATCTCCCAGAGCGATCTCCACGTAACTCGGTGGACCAACGTTGATTCCAATTTCCAGAAATTTGTAACCCGTGACCATCAGAGTGTAACGTCTGCTCAGTAAGCGCACCGCGCGACGCTCCACCGAAATACTGTGGAAATTAAAATATATAATATTGCACAATATTGGAAAAAAAATAAAAAATAAAAAAAATGCAGTTGAAACTTACGCGTTACATTCCTTCTTTTGTTTTTCGCCATGTACGGTGCGCTACTTCCTTTGGCGGAATACATTGCGTGTTGTTCGAATGATGGAGGAGCGGAGTCTTTTTTGTCGTGCAGATCGTTCGATGGAGGACTGATTGCGTAAATTTTTGACATGGCAAATCGTTAATCTCCCCTCCTCCTCCTTCCTCTCCATCCCCTTTTTTCTAAGAATTTCATTGTTGCAATCAAACATGTAGCGACATGTTCGCAAAGGAGCGCGA